CGATTTTGCCCGAATAATGCCTGCTTTCCTTCAATAAAAAAAATTGAAAGTGCACTTTTTTACCATAAGGTTTTATGAGCCCAAATTTGAGCCGACAAATCAGCAATAACAAATCAACTCATATTTATATTACAACATTGCATGAGTGAAGTCAAAAAGAGGGGTGTGTCGAGGTTGCATGGCAGTCTGGCACCGATATTCAATTGGAGGCGTGGAGGAGGGGATCAGCTCAAGACCTGACTCGACACAGTCCGTCCGATCATGGAACGTATTCTTAGAGTTTGGGTATTTTGCCTCCGTCTTTGGCGAAGAGAATTGATTGAATTGTCAGGGCTCGCTGCGGCCGACCATCATGCTTCGATAGTTAGCATCCGTGAAATTCGGCTAGACAAGGCGTAATCGCAACCGTAATGGATACAATTCTAATTGTAAGCTGCGCAGGTTTTCACGGCACCTGCCTCACCTGCTCTCATCTGCACGACCGAGTCAATGTGCGTAAATTTGTGTCCCAATACAAACGAACATACGAGTCCCAAGAAATAATTGAGAGAAGAAGGTTCGATTACTGGGACAACACTTTTATTTGCCTGACGTTTCGTCAGCCATCGCGGATTCTTCATCAGAGACAGAACGAAATAGCAGAAACGGATGATACATGCACAGGAACTTGCAGTATTTTTAGGACACAGTAATGACTGCGCATGTATTACAAATAGCTACAATTAACGATAATTGCCCTCTTGTGCGTGGATGACCGGCATGCGGGCCGTGACCTGCTGAACGTGCATCACGCGTGGTGGAATCGGACGGGATGATAGCTCGGCCATCGGGTCCCTCGGTGTTGGCGTAAGATGCGGAGGCCTGTGCGTTCCCTTGTGCGTTAGCCTTGGTGAGTCGAGTCTACGCCTACTACTACATTTTGCAGGAATCAGTCTCCAGTAGAAGGAGACGGGGTATCTTCGCCCTCCCAGGACTGTCATTAAGAAGATTTCAGTCTGAGTAGGAGCTAGCTCTTCAGTCAATTGGCAATTTGCCAGATCCTGACTTCTGATGTGTCGTGACAGTTCCTTTGACAGGTACCGGGTCCGAAGCGAAACAATCTCACTCGT